ATATATATATATATATATATATATATATATATATTTACTATAAATAATATATATATATACTATAAACAATTTACTATAAACAATATATACAATATATACTATAAACAATTTACTATAAACAATATATATATATATATATATATATATATATATATTTACTATAAATAATATATATATATACTATAAACAATTTACTATAAACAATATATACAATATATACTATAAACAATTTACTATAAACAATATATATATATATATATATATATATATATATATATATATGTATATTTTACTGACAAGATTCACTATAAAGAGAAAACTTCACAACATAAAAAATATAATTAAGTATGGATAATTAAATAGGAAAAGAATACATGAGTCGCTGATTATACTTGATAGAGAGAGAAGGGAAGTGAAGAAAACTACACTACATCCAGAAAGCACTTGATGTAATTATCAAGGACAAACATATGGTCTGTTCTTTTAGCTGCATTAGTGAATCGCTTCTGCACCACTAAACCAGTGCAGATAAAAAAAAACAGAGTAATACTGTTCACAATAGTATTTTATAATGCTTTAAAGTATTAAATTTTCAAATTTTATTTTGTATTTTATCAATCAATGACATCTTCTATTTGGTTCTAGAATTTATTTTCAATGGATCTTTCTTGCAATATATTTTAAATAAAAAAATTTAGTGAGAATTTTCTTTTTAATACTTACCACATACCCTAGCAACAACGCATTGAGCCAATATTAAATTTATAAAAGCTAGTGTAAAATCTATAATAACCAACAATTGACCAACTTATATGCTGCTTAAATAATGGTACTGCTATCTTTTGAGAAATATTATACTTTTATTTGAAACATTTTTTTTTTACTACCTTTCCAAGATATTTAAATATTAAAAATAAAATAGAACACCTTCTCTATGTATAATCGTTATATGTATATATATATATATATATATATATATATATATATATATATATATATATAAAATACTACACATACCAATCTGTCCCTACATCCAATAAACATAGCGAATTACTTTCTTGTGAAAGAGGGCTAGTAAGTTCATTATATTTTGATATTTCACAGATTTCATTATTGAGATTCAAAAACTTTTGTCTATATTTTGGACCACGACCCTGTGTTACTAAATCTTGTAATAACTTATTAGCATTAAGACAAAATAAATAGAGTTCTCCAATACCACAGCAAAATTCTTTAGTTGTATGTATTACACAAATACGTTTTACATCTTCTGGACGACCTGCTGTCATTAAATGAAATTGACAAAATTCTTTCCATTCAAAAAATTTAATTATTTCATCCTTATGAGGATCTTTAATCAATATTCCTGTTTCAGTAGCAGTTAAATTTCCATATAAACCTTTGGGGAAAATATTTAAAATTAAACATAAACTTTAATTGTCATAATACTTTTAAACAATGTATACATTATACTAACCAAGCAATCCTGCTGCCTTCGAATGTGCATTATCAACCATGGATATATTATATGATTTCTTTGTGCAACAATCTCTCTTAGGATTTAAGAGGTTTCTGATATTCTTCATCCAATGTTGTGTTTCAGTTTCTGAATTAGCAGACAACGACAATAACAGTTTTCTATCTTTTCCTTGTGATATAGCAAAAGCAAATTGCTTTGTTTTGGAATGAATGCGATATATGATGGCAGTTAGTGGTATTATTACAGAATTATATTTTTCTCTTTGTTTCAAAGTACTACTGCTACTACTAAGTTTGCTATTAAATTGTATTTGTATACCAAGTCCAGATCCTAATATCTTTATAGAACACCAAAGTCGTTTCCAAACTTTTGTTGATACCAAAGGCTTTTTTCTTATCTTTTGCGCGATATATCTATGTCCTATCGATTTAACATATAAAAAACCACAAACTTCTGTATCAAATTTATCCATTTTTTTATCAAAACACAAACTAAAGTATATCAGTAAATACAATAAAATTCCACTGGTCCTACTAGGTTATCTCTTTGCAACTAAACTTTCAGACTTCAGACTTCAATTATTGGTTGAGCGCACCTTGACTTAAGTGGCTCTACGCCATTGCTCAAGCAACTAAACTTTTGCACTAGTGCAAATATTAGGTTTGTTCTTTTTAGCTGAACTGAACTAGTGCTGTACTGGGACTGAACCGGAACTGGGGGTCGATTGTGTATCTCGAAACGGAGTGAAAATTACAAAAGTGAACAAATTCACTAGGCATTGGCCAATGAAATTACAAATATTCTAGTAAATTTGCTCACTTTTATCATTTCCACTCTGTTTTGAGATACACAATCGACCCCCTAGTAAGGATGTGGCAGCAACTTGTTCAATCACGAGGAGAGCGGCCGGGTCCCTAGACGACGCCTCCCACCAAAAGAGAGACTGTTCTTAACGACGGACAGAACTCAGGACAAAGGAGACTGTCAAGAAAATACAAGGGTGTGATAGATCTCTAACAAGTATTTTTCGTGTGATAAAGAATCTGTGATTGTATCAATAATAACTTCAAGTTGTGATTGTAATAAACTGTATTATCTGTTATATCGTCGGTTCACGTTCGATCGATCTTCTAATAGATATCCTGGCACCTAGAGTAAAAAATCCAAGACTCGAGCGGTGCGCGAAAGACTCACGCACGAACGTGACACGTGGCACAAACCGCCACAAGGACAGTAAAGTGTTGCACTGGTACAAAAGTACAGAGAGGTTAAGGGCTGTGGCACACAGAAAAATTTAAGCAGTAAGACGTAAGCAATAAACAAATTGACCAATCACAGTCGTTGATTCTTTTTACGGTCTAAGAATCAACGACTGTGATTGGCTAATTCGCTTACTGCTTACGTCTTACTGCTTAAGTTTTTCTATGTGCCACCAGCTTAGGGTGCGTTCAGATTCCTCATCCGGGTGCACTCTATTACTAGAAACACTATAGTATATATGACATATACTATAGCACTTCTAGTAATAGAATACACCCGGGTGGGGAATCTGAACGCAGCCTTAAAAGAACGCAATAGTGCAGTGATAAACATGGCGCACCACACATTTGAGGGTGCGTTCAGATTCCCTACCCGGGTGCACTCTATTACTAGAAACACTATAGTATATGTTACATATACTATAGCACTTCTAGTATTAGAGTGCACCCGAGTAGGGAATCTGAACGTACCCTGAAATGGTTATAATGCAATTGATTCTTCTTATGAAGATTTTTTCACATCACGTCTACTACCATTTTATCATTTAGAACCTTTGAATGATGAGGATAATGGTAATATATTATTTCATATGGCAAATTGATTAATGCTAATAAGATAAAAATCTCAAGAAAATATAACTTAATAACAGTATTTTAGATTATAACAATTTACAAATCCTTCATCCAGTTTTTGGACTTGTTCAAAGAATAGAACATGTAAAGATACCATATTACATGGAAAATATTGACCTGGTTTACATCGTGCACTTGATATGCGTACTAAATAGTAACTTTCTATTAGATAATCTTAATATCGACAATGGATATCAATGGCGATGCATTCAATCAATACAATATGTTTTGTTAATGAGTATTATATCACCTTAATATACCGTTTATGTATATCTTCGATATTAAGATTATCTAATAAAAAATTACTATTTAGTATGCGTATCAAGTGCACGATGTAAATCAAGCCATTGTAATATAATAATATTGTTATAATAATATTGATTTTATTATGCATTTTCGTATATCTACAGAGAAAACATACGAACTTATTAATAAATTTATTTAGAATATCTGAAATATTTACTTCTTTAGAAGGTATGTATTTACATATATAATATATGTATGTGTGTGTATATGTATGTGTATGTGTGTGTGTGTGTGTGTGTGTGTGTGTGTGTGTGTGTGTGTGTG